TGCTGTAGGTTAATGCGCCAGATTGCAAAGCCATTTGAACTGCAAGGTTGGTGGTTCAAGCTCACCAGCTGCCCCTTGGGAACCCTATACAGGGTTGCCATGGGTTGCAATGGTACTTAACAACAACAATAATTTTGTCTAGCAAATTGACCCCCTCTAAAAGTTGGAGTCCTGGTATGGTGCTGTAGGATAAGCACTGGACTCTTAACCACAAGGTCAGTGGTTTAAACCAACCAGCTACTCCTTGGAAACCCTTACAGGATCACAATGAGTTGGAACCAACTTATTGGCACTTAACAAGATCAACCTCAAAAAATGCTATAGGGTTGCTATGAGTTGGCATGGACTTGATGGCTGTGGGTGTGTGGGTGGGTGTAAACGCAAGACATTAAACAAATATTCCAAAGTATGTTTAGGATCATGCAATGGAAAACCCTGAGGTAACAACGGAAATCTCTGATCTTATCTCTGCCTATATGCCTGTCCGGGATATGCTCAAAAATTGTTGTTGTTAAGTGCTATTGAGTAGGTTCTGACTCATGACGATCCTATATAGGTTTTCCAAGGTTTTAAATCCTCGATGGCACCTAACAACAACAACAACAACAACAACAACAACAACAACAACAAAAAATCTTCATTGGAGCAGAAAGTCACATCTTTCTCCTGTGAAGCAGCTTGCGGGTTCAAATCACAGACCTTGTGGTTGCAGTCCAGTGCTTAGCATATGGAGCCACAGTGCTCCCATGCTCAATAATAAGTGTGCTTTAATAAACTAAAAAAAGAGAAGAGAACTCCACAATAGGGAAGCTGAATGAGTAAGCAATTAACAAGAAGTGCAAGCTGAAGAGTTGAATGAGAAATGCGTTCCATAAAAAATACATTTTTTTTTCACTTTACAAGTATTCATAGTAGTGTGACCTTAAAATACCATGGGTTGTACATATTTCAACAAAGATATGAAAAACTCTGCTAACTTTATGCCGTATACTTATTTCATAAAATGAGGTTCACCTCAAACATAATGGATCCTTATTCCTGCCTCTTCAGGTACATTTAGAGGGGTTTGACTTCTTAATTTCCTTGTCAATTGAGGGCAAAGCCTCTAACTTTGGTATCTAAAATTTCAGGTATTCATATGCTAGAACAAATTCATCTATACTGTGAGTCATAATTTTTTGCAAAATAGAGCTCATTATCATGCCATAATTGTTAGAAAAATTCCCCTCAGATTACCTAGGAAGGTAATGCTTACTTCCAGACTAATAAAACATCCTATGAATGCACTTTCTTACATTCTTTACTAAGAATCAGTATTTTTCATATAGCCCTCCATTCAAATTAGGTGGGATAAAATAATGAGAACATTTTAGCAAGGTCTGACTCCATTATAGCTGAAATTAAATAACTCCCCTTCTTAATTTAAAAATATTGGTCTGCTTAGTTTTATGACAATAGATGTAATGTTCTTATTACTGCTCATTCTAAAAAAAAAAAAAAATGGATTTCTTTTCATGAATGTTAATTGATTTCCTGTATTGCATTAACAGTAACATTACCTATTATGTTTTTCAATGCAGAAATATTCATAGTTGGCTTTAAAAACATGCTCCTAAAACATGCACTTACTTCCCATGGCTTACCACTTTATTATAAACTCTTGTTAGGTTTCTTAAAATCAGCACATAACCTGAGCCCATAGCAAAAGAAAGAGGGGAAAAGATAGATACTGTTTTATTTCATATACAAAGAGACTAGCGCAAGGTTCTTCCATCTGATTCCATTTACATATACTGTATGCACATTGAGCATGGTGACTCTGTAGGATAAGCATTGGACTATGAACCACGGAATCCTGGTGTGGTGCTGTGGGTTAATGCGCCAGACTGCAAAGCTGTATGAACTGCAAAGTCGGTGGTTCAAGCTCACCAGCTGCTCCTTGGAAATCCTAAACAGGGTCACTATGGTTCGGAATCAACTTGACGACAGTTAAAAACAACAATGTGAACCACAAAGTTGGCAGTTTGAGCCCACAAGCCACTCTGTGGGAGAAAGAAGAGGCTTTCTGCTCCCGGAAAGATTTACAGCTTTGGAAACACTACACGTTGGAAATGACTCGATGACCCTCGATAACAACAGTAACAACAACATACAGGTATGGGAGCACTGTGGCTCTGTAGGATACACTTTGACAACAAACCACAAGGCCGGTGGTTTGAGCCCACTGACTGCTTCACAGGAGAAGGATGAAGTTTACTGCTCCTGCAAAGATACACCTTGGAAATCCTATAATGGGTCTCTGTGAGTCGGAACAGACTTCACTTAACAACAGACATGAGTGTATGTGTATGTAATAGGTTTCATCTGAAAACAGAAGTAGGAATAATCTCTACCCTATGACGACAAAGTAAATGCTGGAGAGTGAAACCTCACTCCTCATCTTCAATGAGGAGACAACTGTGGTTCCAGCTCAACATGGAAGGATAGCATCCCAGCTTCTTAAAGGTCCACTGAAAAGCTGGCTCAGTCTAGAACTGTCCAGGAGTGAGTCTAGTTCCTACTTCAGCCCTGGAAGCATTCACTTTGGGAGCTCTGTTCAACAATAGGACGGCACTTAAAAGGAACTTCCTTCTGAGGCCCAAACCCAAACCAAATCGGTTGCCATTGAATCAATTCTCACTCATAGAGAACCCTCTAAGGATAAAGTAAAACTGCTCCATAGGGTTTCCGAAGCTGTAAATCCTTATGGAAACAGACTGCCACATTTTTGTCCTAATGGAGTGGTTGATGGGTTCATATTACCAAAATTTCAGTTAGCAGCCAAGCACTTTAACCACTGTATCAGCAGTCTTCTTGACTCTAGAGCAGCGGTTGGCAAACTAAAGGCTATGGCCAAAGCTGGTCTGCTCCATTTTTTGTAAATAAAGTTTTATTGAAACAGTCACACTACTTTGTTTACTGATTGTCTATGACTGCTTTCATGCTACATGAGAGTTGAGTAGTGGTGACAGGACCTGTATGACCTGCAAAGTTGGAAATATTTCCTCTTAGGCCCTTTATTGAAAATGCTTGGTGACTCATCCTCTAGGAGAGCCTGGGATGGGAGGTTTCTATTATACTCTGTCTATCTTGACAGTAAGCAAATACAATTTGATTACTCACTGTTGTGCTAATTTTGGCCATCCTCATACGTCTCAGGAGGGTATGTTTTTGGAGAGTGCATTTCTGGAGACTTTTTCAGGTGAGTAAGCTATCATGGAGTACAGCCATCCTTACTCAGTGCCTTAGCCCACACTGTCCTTTATCAGACGGTGCTATTTTCCATAGGTTTTGCATAGGGCTTCCTGCTGTCTAAGATGTGTGTATTCACACATACATGGCCAGCCAAGGTTTAAGCCATCTCCCTTTCTGACTGAGATCTCCACTCACACCAGCACAGGAGGCTCTAAAGTGAAACTTGGTATATCAAATTTCTACTGAATGAGAAGGTTTATAAGATGGAAGAAGTGAAATTTAAGTGAATTTTGGTTTAACTGGCAGTGGAATAGAGAAATACAATGAGAAGGTATGTGATTTTTGAGGCTCTCAGTCCTTATAGGTGTGAATCGTCTGTTTCCTCAGGCACCGCATCTTTTTGCTGCATCAGAAGCTCAAGTAGAAGAGGCAGAGAAGTAATGGGGGAGATGTAATGTTTATGATATTTGGGGAAGATTCTAAACTTTAAGAAGACTGAATAGCAATACTCAATTGTTCAAACTTCTCAGGTCTATTGGGGAATGTGTTCTTGGAGGAATTGTCCTGCACACTTAATTCCTCACTGGAAGTCCAATGAATGGATTATCCAAGGAAGGGTGGGCCATGTCAGTTTGCATTCAGGACATAAAGGGGTCTAAGGATATCTGTCTCTCTGCCTTGGTAGCCAAAAGAATAATCATGAGTTTGGGGCTATTCTGGAAGGTGTACATCGTAGGTTGTAAACTAATGGCTCATGGTTTGAATTTTGAAATGGCCCTGTAGACTTTGCTACTTAAAAAAAAATTAACACTGACATTTAAAAACTGGAACATTTCATTTAAACTCTGTATTTTCAACCTCTGAAAATGTGAAATCTCTTCATTTCTGATTGTCAATGATTGCCCAGAGTAGAAGGCTGGCTTCCTTTCAGAGAGAGGCTGAGTTCTTCAATTTTGTTGATTTATTTTAGTTTTCCTTGTACCCAACCTGAATCAGTCATTTGTGTTATATGTCTGGCTCCAAGAGTCTCTGAGTTTGCAACCCCTGCTCAATGAATTGCACAAGGAATCTTTGCTATCATAATCTTCTATTCCTTTTCTGGTCATTTTGCCTCTCTTTTGATATTCATTAACTGTTTCTATCTTACTTACACCTTAAACGTTCTAATCATATTCCATCCTGTCTCTACTGCTGTGTAGAACAAAGAGCCCATTTTGGGATAATGCATGGACTTTGTGGCCACTAAGTGTGTGATCAAAGTCAATAAAATAAATATAAAGAATGAAAACATTTAGTGAGCAAAGACAATCTTAGGATGGTTAAGATTAACCTATTTCTGTCAATGATCATTTTTTCTCTATGACATTTCTGGTGACGATGCCTATCATAGTTTTTGAAGAAGGTGGAAGTACATTTACAGGGATAGGGTCTAAATCAGATAATCTCTGAGTATTCCAGGTGGTACAAATGATAAAGCCCTCAACTGATAGCTGAAAGATTGACAGTTCACATCCACCAAGGAAAAAAAGGTCTGGTGATTTACTTTTGAAAAAACTGTCAGTGAAAACCTTGTGGAGCACTGTTCTGCTCTGACACACACAGGGTCACCAAGAATTAGAAATGACTTGGTAAAAACCGACTAATCACACTTATTAGTTTGGAAAGGATGGTTGGTAAGCCATTCAGCTGAGTCTCACAGGAACTCATAGTTCACTTTCAGGGGAACACAAGTAAAGATACACAAGAAAATAAAAGAATATATTTACCTGTCATACTGTTGGGAGTCATAGGTTAGTAATCATTCTGGATCCTTTTTTTCACTGACATCTCCTGCAAAGAAAAGACAAGAAAAAAATATACCCACAGGTTAAACCACCACCAGTAGTTATACGAATGTGCACTTTTTTCTAAAACAATTTACATGAATTAATTAGCTCGTTTGTCTTTACAACATTCCTTCAAAGCAAGATTTGTTTCTCCCAACTCAGGAATGGGAAAACTGAAGCTCCGGCAGGCTACATCATACATGTACATTTATAAAACTTCTGATTTTTCTTTCCCCTCAGGGTTTCTTCTATTGGACTTCACTGCCACGCTTCTTTTCTCAGACAGAAGTTTTCCCTAAGGAAAGGGCTAAAGACTTGGGTGTATGTATACTTCTGCAGGATTTGAAAAGTGATTTTTAATTCCATATGAAACATACAGAAATGAGATATTACAGTCGGTATCTCATAAGTTTTCAATTTCTTATCCTTAAAATACGTGAAATAATACCTACGTATGTTCTCCATATTTAAGGCAATAAAAATAATTATATACTTTCATATTTCAAGGTATTAGGTAGAGGGCAATATCTGGGAATGTTCTAAACACATTCAGGAAGAGACTTCAAATCAGAAAAATGGGAATTTGTATTTCCTTAATTGCACTATCAACAAATAAGGCATACTAGGGTCTTAATGAGCTCTCGTGGCATGGGAGGATAAGAACTGAACTGCTAACTGCAAGGTTGGCTGTTCAAATCTACCAGCTGCTCTATGGGATAAAAACAAGACTTTCTTCATTTATAAAGATTTACAGCCTTGGAAACTCTACAGAGGGTTGATATGAGTCAGAATCAACTCATTGTCATTGGGGTTGGTCTAGTGGTCTTAATAGCCACAATTGGTCTCTATTTACCTGGAGCAACAGGGGACTAAGGAGAGTCAGGAACAGGAGGAGAATATGTGATATGTGACTAATTGTCTCCCTGAACAACTGCCTCCGTTGCCACATGATATTAGAACTGGATGGTGTGTGGTTACCATTACTGAATATTTTGATCAAAGATAGTTTAGAAGAATCCTGACCGAAACGGGAAAAATACAGAACAGGATTTCAAATTCTCATAGGCTTCAGACTCTCTGGAGACAAGGGGGATTAATGAGTTTCTGTTAACAGGGAAGGAACAAATCAGAAAATGAGAAAGATTACACAATTTGAGAAGGGCAGTGAGGAGGAAGAGTCAGGGTTCTAATGTGCTTGCAAGGTGTGCTGAGGCGAATGAAGGATTAACAACGGGCACTACTAATAGGAAGGGATGACTCAGGTCTGTGTCTAGTTGGTTAAAGCAACTATTGTTCACTGAAGGGATAAGTCATAGGTCTCTGTACAATTGGTTAAAACAAGTCATATTGTTCACTCACTAGGGATATGTTTTCAGTTAAAGCTAGTGAGCATCCACATATTAGTCCTAATATGGCACTGAGAATTAACGCGCTGGACTGCAAAGTCGGTTTGAACTGCAAAGTCAGCGGTTCAAGCTCACCAGCTTCTCCTCAGAAACCCTATACGGGGTTGCTATGGGTTGAAACTGACTCAATGGCACTTAACAACAACAACAAATAGTCATGATTCTTTAAAGCTTCATCAGTTTAGCATCAATTAAGAGAAACATGGTTTTCAGTTTTGATACCTTCTAGGCAAATCTTGATCTAAGCCATGGTATTTTCAGTAACCTCAGATGCTATAAAGTAAAAGTTAGTGAGTAAGGAAGGCTATAAAAGAATGGATGCATTTGAGTTATGGTGTTGGAGGAGAATATTGAAATACCATGGACTACCAAAAGAACCAATTTATGTTAGAAGAAGTACTGCCAGGCTGGCCAGAATTCATCTCTCATACGTCAGACATATGACCAGGAGGGATCAGTCCCTGGAGAACGGTATCATGTTTGGTAAAGTGGAGGGTCAGAGAAAAAGAGGAAGACCTCCAATGAGATGAATTGGCACAGTGATGGCAGCAATGGCCTCAGGCTTAGAATGATTGTGAAGTTGGTGCAGGACTGGGCAGTGTTTTGTTTTGTTGTTCATAGCTGTTGCCAACTCGACGACACCTAAAAGCAACAGCAATAGGCAACTCTAACTGAAGTGGAAAAGGCATTGGTTAAGGGCCTCCTCTATACAGACACTGCTCAGAGAATTCAAAGATAACACTGCCACCTGCCTACAACCCAAACCTTTTAGTTAGCAACCTAACACTTAACCTACATGGCTCAACCAGGTCTCCTAATCTGCCCATATATTGCCTGAAAATTAAGAAGCCTCCAATTTAACAGAGGGAAAGAATCACACACACAAATAAATGTAAAAAGCAGCGCAAGCTTCATATTAAGTGTCTCTGCAGCGTAGACTGGCCCAAAAGGAATAAGAGAGAAGCCATTTTGAAGTCTGACAGTCCGGACAGGCTACTGAGTGGAGGTAATCCTTGCCCTGAAGGTCTAATTTTGAATAGGTCTCTCCACAATTGGTAATTTAGTCATTTATTCTTGTCCTTGTGCTCCAAAGGCACATGGGGAACTCTACAAGTCATACACTTTATACAGAAAAGCTGAGCACCTTTACAGATCATGCATGTTTAAATCAGGGGGGTGATGATATGAAGTGGTTGGAGCTTTTGAAGGCTTCATGAGGCTGTAGTGTGGGAAGCAGGGTGTTTAGACAGTTACAGCAGTAGTGCAGGAGAGAGAGGGAGGTGATAGTGGTGAGAAGGTGAGGGACTCCAATGACATTTGGAGGTGGAAATAAGATGGCAATGAGTATGATATGAGCATTTAGTACTAGGATAAACACTGTGGATGTAAATAGGTGAAGGCCTGTTCTCTGCCCAGAAGGAATTTACAATTTACAAGCTGACAGGGAAGACAGAGCACACAGGTGAGGATGGTGCTGAGTCGCCTAGGGCTGAAGGGCTGAAACCTTCCTCTGCCGACTCACACCATTCCTAGTTCAGGTGCCATGTCTCTTTAAGGGATGCTCACTTCACTTGGAAGAATAGAAAAGTGAGACATTTACCTCTCAAACACATGAGATGCATTTATATTTAAACAATACAAATGACAGCAAAATTGTTATTGATCTCTCTGAAGAGGAAGTGGAACTATCATTACCACTTTGAGGACAGGTTCAGGGATTTTAGAGGGCGTTGAACTTCATACACCCTGCTGTGGGAGCCCTCTTGGGCTGCGTAGACAGAAATACAGCCGGTACACAAGGGCGGGTCAGGCTGTATTTGGCTGCTGCATTTTAAGCAAGACAGTCTCATGGAGAATGCCTAGGATAATGGAAGCCATATCTTACTGAAAGGTTGAAGGAAACCTAGAAAAGGGAGGAGCCGCATGCAAGTTAGACTGTTGTTAGGTGCTGTGGAGTCACAGTTCTGACTCATAATGACCCTGTATAGGGTTTCCAAAGCTGTAAATCTTTGCTAGAGCAGAAAGCCTCATCTTTCTCTCGAAGGGCAGTTGGAGGGTTCTAACCAATGATCTTGAGGTTCGAAGTCCAATGCTTATTCTATAGAGCCACCAAGTACCATGGAAATTGGCTTGTTGTTGTTGTTGTTGTTAAGTGCTGTCAAGTCAGTTCTCACCCATAGAGACCTTGTGTAGATAGGATTTCTGAGGAGTGGCTGGTAAGTTTGAACCATCACCTTGCAGTTCAAACTGACCTTGCAGTCCAGTGTTTATATCACAGACGTTAGAAGTGGCCTTCAAATATCTGTGAATCTATCATGTGGCGGAGAGCTTAAGCATGTTCCAGGGACTGAGGGCCAGCAGGGAGGTGTTGCCAGAGGATGGGAAGTTTTTCTGCTCTACCTCTGCATGGGCAGTAGTGGCTCAGTGGAAGAACTCTCACCTTTCATGTGGGAGATTCAGGCTCAATTCTTGGCCCATATATTTCAGTCCATGTCATTATTCATCTCTCAGTGAAGGTTTGTATGCTGCACAGGTTTTAGCAAGCTTCTAGACTGAGATGAAGTAGGAAGAAAGCCCTACAGATCTACTTCCAAAAATTAGTCAATGAACACTCTGCAGAGCACAATGGTCTAATCCACACACAATCATGGGATGGTGCAGGACCAGGATCAATGTTGTTGTGGTTGCATGTCATCGAGTCAGTTCTGACTCATAACAACCCTGTCTAGCGTTCCTGAAGAACAGCTGGTGGGTTTAAACTGCCGGCCTTGGGGCTCCAAGTCCAGTGTTGATCCTACAGCACCACATAAGTAGTCTCCATTGTGCATTTTGTTGTTATTGTTGTTAGGTGCCATCGAGTCGGTACCGACCCATAGCAACCTTATGCACAGCAGAATGAAACACTGCCCGATCCTGGGCCAACCTCACTACTGTTGCCACGCTTGAGTCCATTGCTGCTGCCACTTGGGCAACCCATCTCGTTGGGGGGGTCTTCCTCTTTTTCTCTGACCCTCCACCTTACCAAACATGATATCCTTCTCCAAAGACTGGTCCCTTTTGACAATATGTCCAAAGTATGAGAGACGAAGTTTGGTCATCTTGACCTCCAAGGAGCACTCTGGTTGCACTTCTTCCAGAATGGATCTATTGGTTCCATGGCATTTTCAATTATTTCCTCCAACACCGTAACTCAAAAGAATCAATTCTTCTACGGTCTTCCTTATTTACTGTCCAGCTTTCACATGCATATGAGGTGAGGTCTCCATAAATTGAGAGAAAACACAACAACCTAACAGCACCACTTTAGGCCTAAGGAGAAGCTTATTTTATAGGTAGAGGTGATGGCACCTCCCCTCCACCTTGAGCTTCTGAGAACATCAGTATCTTTATTCTGCAATAAAACATGAGATCATATGTGTGATATGGCTCTAGGGACTTGAAAAAGGCTAGTTTCAAGCTTGGCCTTCACATTTTTCTATAAACTTTCATATTTTAGCTCAATGGAACTCAGCTCTTTGGCAGTGGTGGTATACTCACGAACTGTGAAGAGAACAAAATCTTTTTTTTTTTGCTTTGAAAAATGGACAATTTGTCATAT